AAAAAAAAAAAAAAAAAAAAAAAAAAAAAAAAAAAAAAACTCATCACAAAATCTATTCTCAAAAAATTTCTTCCAAACAGGGGTTTAGTCGTACCTTCATTATATAACCAGCTACATGCCTCTCGTCAATGCGGATGCTCTGATAACAAGGATAGATATTGAACAGTGAGTTTACACATTTTATATCAATAGTCTGGTCTGCTACAATTTAAAATCCTAACCTTTTCAGCATAGGATAAAGCTCCTCTCTCATCTTTCTTTTCCCACAAAACAGACAGGGCCACAAAAACTTCAGGCCGTGTGGGATCAACGCTCAGGATATCATGTACTAACTTATTTAACTTGGAAATATCTGACTTTAGCTTTAAAAGCATTGCATACTCATCCATATATGTAACCACATATGGATCAATTGACCTAACCTGTAAAAATCAGGTTATGTAAAATTTCTGTCAAAACAATATATTTTTGTGTTGGTACTAGTGGCACCTCATCTTACCTTCTCAAAATCCAAAATGGCTTCATCATTTTTTCCAATAACGGCTTTGACCTTCAAAAAACAATTTACCATAAATTAAGTGAAAAGATAACCATCAGCATTCTGGTATCCTCGAGGACAGTGTAAATATATATAGGTGAAAGCAGTTGAAAGAACGATCATTCAAGCAATTTTTCCTCATAAGCCTTTAAGAGCCATGTTTAAGAATACAGATTAGCTTCTTTCAATTCATAAGAGATCACAATTTACTGGACTCATAAGTAGTTTTTAAGAATCCAGAAATTCCATTTACTGTAGCTGTAACATAAGTTGCTCCCCTAACTTATGGACGTTCTCTTCATGTTTAACAAGTTCCAATTCGTTCTAGTGAAACTTAAACTAACCTTTGCCATTTCCAGTAATATGTGTATGTTGTTAGGAAATCGTTGCAAAAGTTCAGTGAAAAGTTCCAGACCACCTACCAATCAGACAAAAAAAGAAGGTAAGGAAGACGAGGACATAATGCAATCAGATAGGGAAAATATCACTTCTAAGTCTTTCCATGGAATAGAGTATGCAGAGATGTGGGTCAAGAACATCTATTATCAAGAACGAGCCTCTTGCGATGAAGTATGGAATTTCACAATCATATGAATTTTAATGAATGACCAGCACTGCGAATAGTTTTCCCACACAATTTATACGTACTTTAATGGGTATACTTGAAAGATCTAAGTATTGTAGTGGCCATTAGGTCTAAATCGAGCATCAATTTGGTTTTGCAGAACAAGACTTGCATGCTACTACAACATAGAAAATGAATCAGACGTGTAGCTGCAATCATAAGAGTGCACATTGATTCATAGAAAACTGATGTTCATCTAGGCATTATCTGGATAGGAAAAGGTAGATAAAATTCTAACCCAAAATCTAACCTTTGTAGTCGTTAGAAACAATGCAACATTGAGCTTCAACATAACGCTGCATGGAGATGAGACATGAGGTGTCAGTTACATTGCAAAAGAGAC